CTCTCTCTCTCTCTCTCTCTCTCTCTCTCTCTCTCTCTCTCTCTCTCCATAGAAACTAAATATTGTATTGCTATTCATGGAGTTGCAGAAAGAGCTACCCTCTGAGAGAGAACCCAAAGCCCACACATTAAAAAAGAAATATTTCCATCCTGTTCTTTTTTTAAAGCCAATGGATTTTTAGATTCAGACTTGAGCACTATATCAGTTCTGAGCTTAAAGTATGAAGTGCAAAGACATCTATATCTGTAGCTAGGCATGTATTTTAGGTGAGAAATCAGCCTCCCTCTCTCTCCGCTGCATTTCTGAAGGCACAGGGGAAAAAATGTCGCCATTTTGTTCACTCAAAAATATCCTCAATCTTGTTCTTTATCTTCGTCTGAGAACTTTCCTCAAATGACGTTTAGAAATATCCAGTGTAGATGTGTACATGTGTCGACACACGCATGGGGATGTATGATTTGCCTTTAGTTGGGACAAGAAATGACGTTTTAATTTTTCTTTTCCTTTAAAAGAAGAAAGGAAAAGAGTAGCGGGAAGCGGCCCTAAGGAGAAGCTTCCTGCGAACAGCACCTATTTATATGTTTCATCTACGTCTGGAGATTTCTCTACTTCTCTTTGCCAGGGCCATTGACTCAGAGACAATTTGAGGGTGCTTTGGTTGAAAAAGAAATCCCTTACAATCCTTTCTCCCCACCATTCCCACCCCTCTATGGAAAAAAAAATGGCGCGGTTGGTAAATACATAAAGCTAAAATTTAGGTTTTGTAAGGGATGTAGTTTCCTTGTCTTGGACTGTTAGAACTGGGAGAAAAACATCAGCTTCTCCTTCAAAAGTAACCATTTTTAGACAAATAAATTCTCTAAGTTGAGTGGGAGGTGGTAGAGAAGAGGCTAGAGTGAATTCCTTCTATCCTTTGAATCCATTTCTAAGAAGCTTTTAAGGGAGAGTGAACAGGGTTGATAGCTACCTCCTTCCCTGAGGGCAGAGACTTTGAAAATGAAATTATAATATGATTTTCCGCGTCTTGCTAGCCAAGATATTCATTTTGTCTTTCAAGGGAAAAACACTCTCTATCTCATCCAGTTTCCTAGATATATTTTTGCAAAATCTCTATTAAAATACACCCCAAGTTAAAGTAATAGATTTTTAGATGTCTCGCTGTTGAGTGGCCAGAGAAAAAGAGTTTCTTCCAGATGGTATTTGAATTAGAAGCCCCAGAAAGGACTAGCAGAATTCAGCGCCCACTCAGCTCAACTCACAAAGCCTGCAGAAATCAGCAGGCGGATGCTTCTTCCTGCCTTTTTTTGCTTCAGCTCCCACCCCAGCCCCAAGATTTCCAAGCAAAAGCCAAAACCCAACGTCGCTAACCCGAACCCCTGAAAAGCTCTGTGCCCCAAACCATCCCCCTAACCCTTTCTGCCACGAAAATAGCTAAAAAGAAACATTGGTCCCTGTTTACTTGCGTTTCTTGCTCTTCCCTCATTTCTCGGCAACATTTGGTCTTGGAAAGAGCAAGAATCTCCCAATGTGTTGTCAAGGGCCAGGAGCTGTCAGACCTTTTGGCGAATAAGATTGATCGCGCGCAGACTTCCTTCAGAGCTTTGTGTGGAATAAAAGCAAGAAAATTAAAAACCTACATTTTTTTTCCCCGGGAAAGCATCTCTATCTGTAAGGCGTTGCTTTTGGCTAGTAAATGACCAATCCCTCACTGTATTTAATTTTAACCCGAGCTGCTCTAAACGCCCAGAATAGGACATTTCTCCCTTACTTTGTCTCTTGCAGTGGGGATTTCTGGTTTATAACCGTGGGTTTTTTCCCCCTCTTCCTAACCCTTTTGAAGTAACTTATTTTAGCTGTGTGGATATTGAACTAGCTTGGGGAAGGTTTCTTTGGCCTATGTCAAAAGAGGCCAAAGCTTATAACCATCACCATCATCACCAAGGTATTTTTTTTGGGGGGGGAGGGGAAATCAAATACTGCTCTCTTCTTTTTAAAATTTTCTTTTCTTTTTTGCCTTGATGATTTTTGGCGGAGAGGTTTGGTAGCTCAAAGATAACATTAAAAAAAAATTTTAAGATAACATTTTTTTAAAGAAGGAAACTGAATTGGATCTGAAAGGCCTTCCGTTTCGGGATTCTCCCTGCACAAGAGTACCTTGAGCGGCTCCTTGGGTGCCTTTCCGAGCCTCCCCCCCCCCCCCCCCCCGCTCTTTTTAATGCTGGGTTCAATTTCACCGAACAGAACAAGGGTCCGAATTGCAATTCCTAGCCCTGGAGCTGTGGAGATGGCCCCGAGAAAAAGAAGACTCCAGGTGATTGACGCTGGGAAAGAAGCCTTTCTTGGTGCGGCAAATTTCACTTCAAGAAATCCAAACCCCAAAGAAATAGTTCAACAACAACAACGAAAAAGGAAGAATGGGGGGGGGGGGAAAGCGACTTCCTTCTCTTTGGCACTGACTTCCAGGAAATCGGAAATACTCACCGGACCCCTTGTACTACGGGTATTAAACCCAAGAAGTCAGCAACCGGGGGTATGCTATAATCTGCATTATTACATGCCGCTGGCTATATGGCTGCACTCTATGTAGGTTTTGTACGCATGGATCTGGTCCCTATTGGCATATGCATCTATCTGTCACGGTCTGCTCCGGGGAAGTTGACTGCAAGGGAAAGTCGTGGAGCACACAAAAGCTGCCTTCTATTTTCCGCTTCTCCCAGGAGCCAGACGCAAGGCTGCTGCGGAAAGTCCGGCGAACAATGGGCTGA